TCGAGCCATCAAATTGAACTCCTGTTATCTAGTGAACGTAAAAAAACCAGCCAAAGATTACAACAAACCATTTGTAAACTTCTGTAAAGAAAACCTGTCAACTCTAGTATGTTCATGATTCTCCATTTCATGGGATATTTCATGAGCTTGCAAGAGTTGCCAGGTCTTATGGTGGCTCGGCGAGCTTGCTCCAACTTTACGGGTCCACACGTTTCACCAGAAAGAGACACGAACCGGAACTAGTGTAACAGCGAAAGTGCAAAATGCCCCCCACCCCCCTCTTCATCGCCGAAATGCGCCGAACATAGAACATGAAGGGAATCAAAAAAACGACAAAGCTGCTAAACGTACACTGCTTCCATACGTCGGTATTGGATGGGCGTCCAATGCTCAGGAGGTAATCTTATAGCATTTTCCGCAGCACGCACCTCTGCTTCAAACCGAGAAACACTTGGGATACCCATTCGATAAAGTGGAGCCATCTAGGAACAGAACCAATTAATTTTGCAAAGGTGTCACAAGGGATACGGCCAAGACAATCGTGATTCGTCGCGTCTTCGGGCACAGCGTAGCGTGTGACAATTACATCGATTTTGTTGCCTGCAGCAGCGAAACCCGTATGAATTCAAGTCGAGTAAGGACTTCAGTCACGTATGCTACTGGATTTTTCCATTACGTCAACACTCAAGTTCAAATGGTCAGGCAGGACAACTCGTCTGCAATCCGTCGCTCGCCGCGCCAACCACCGCGGCGTACTACGATTGTCTTGTCCCACAACCCGTCATGCCTGTACTGAACTTCAAATAAAAAAACTGCCTACTGGTTCTCCTGACGCTGTTTTTGATCCAGCATACGTGTAAATGTAGGCGACGTCTCTCTCGGGGAAAACGATAATTTTATGGATCTGAAGGGAATGTTGTAGAGAAAACTATTGCACTGAAAAATATAGAAGGGTCCAATATGGGACCGCAGGTAAATACGTAACGTGGACAGGGTAGTTACGTTACTGACGTAGGAGGGTGGAGGGGGGAGGGGCGGAGGTAGGTGCAACAGATTTTTTGGAAATTGTGAGGAAAACTTCTTTTCTCACGGAAAAGCTGGAACGGTCACATCGGATGTCCCTTTCCTGACGCCTTTCAGGGGGTGCAGCCAGGAATCGACGTCATTGGGGCGCCCCTCCTTGTCCCGGTCTCTGCATCGCCAATGACGTCGATTACTGGCTCCGCCCACCCGGCAAATTCAAACGGTGTCCACGAACTAAAATCCTTACTCTGCCAGCACCAGCAGCCGTCCGTCACTCAGAGCATCAAGGAGATAGCGTGGAAAGAGTGTAGCCTTCTTCTGTGAGGACGCCGAGGTGTTTCAGGGAGAGAGGAGAGTGGGAAGAGTTTGGCGCAGGGCCGCCCCGTTCTTAAAAGTTATTGCCGCTTTCCCTTCTTCCACAATTGCAGGAGAATAGCTGGCACGGCGCCAAACCCAGCTCTCCCGACACGCTCCGCATCCGCATCGAACAAGACCACATTTCGTGAGAGCTTGTCACTAACTTGGAACGCCACGCGCCATATTTTACTGCGGACCTTTACTGGACCAGCGCCAAAGGAAATGTACCCTACCTGACCCGTAGGTAACAAATTACTAACGAAATCGCTCCATGTAATATTCACAAATCCAGGTGGGCCTTCAGGTCTTGGACTGAAAATTGACTTTTCTGACGGAATACGAGAGAAAATAAATGGATGAATTCAATCAAATAAGGGGTAAAAATA